TAACATTCAAAGCATCTAAATTTATTAAAAGGTATAAAATATGTCCATGATGATAAGACATGTAAGAAACCTGGAATTTATTTGTTTTCCTTTTTTTCTTCCTTTTAGGTGTCCAATGTCTCCAGCATCAGTAGATTGCCAACTCCCTGTCCTTGCAACACCCCAGCCAGCATTATGCTAGTTCTGTCATACCCATCCCCGATTACTGCAGCAGAATGGAATCGTTCTTTAGTTGTAAGGTAAGTTTCCCTCCCCACTCATTTCACACGCATAGACTCAGCTTTTCATTTTACAATATTGTGTAGTTTTGTAAGTTTTTTTAAACTTTCTTTTTCCATATGGTTCCTTAGGTCATTAATGTATCATATTCAAAAACTTATAAAACTGCATAATATAATAAAAATCTTCTCTTGTGACCATAGACCAGCTTCTTTTTGTAGTAATCCCTATGAGGTTATAAAACCTCTGTTGTTTGACATTTGGGGCATCTCATGGAAAGGGAGCTGGCAATCTGCAGCTGCTGTGGACATTGGATGAGAAAGTATTGAAAGGTAAGCTTCAGATTTAGACCATGTTGTATGCCTTTGGTTCCATGGTATATGCTTGAATTCATACTTTACATTAAACTTTATAGTAAATTCATAAAAGAAAAATACTACTCTCTTCTTTAAAGTGACCTGCAGTAAATGTTTGCATTATTAAGTTCACATAATACATTGGGATTATCTTAGAAGATAATTTTTATCTCTGAAAATAGTGAGAATTCAAATATCGAATGAGATATTAAAAGAAAATAATATTAAATGAAAACAGTTCATTTATCCCCATTTTCACATACTTGTTAGTAAAACAAAGCTATTGCTAGCTTTTAGCTTATTAAATATATTTTTTTGAGAAATGGTTATAACACTGTTCCACAAATGGCCTATACTAATCCTTCTCCCTGCTGTCTTTGATTCTATATTGATTACTACAGATAAAGATTTTAAGAGCTTTCTGATTTTTATTATATCCATATTCTTTCTTATGTATTTGAAGAATGGGGAATGTGCTGTGTTCCTTGTTTTTTAATTCACTTTTAAACTTTAGAACACTATAATTTTAAGTACTATTTTAAACAAATGAAAATAAGTTTTATAGATTTTAGTTTTTCCATTACAGAGACACCTACATATAAAGATAAGTACTTAACACAATACAATCTTTTGTTCTTTAGGAATTGTCTGAGTGTAAACCAATTGGGACAGCATTATATAGTGGAAGGAGAGTTAGATTTTAACATTCATAAGACTAGAATTCTAACTGAAAATCTGCTTTTATCTACAAGTACTTCCCTGTGATTCACTGAGCCAATTTCCTTCTGTAAAATTATGTTCTTCTCATTCCCTTTAGATTTAATAATTTTATCCTAGAAGAAACACAATAGTTGTTCTCAGATTTTCCTTTCTGTGTATATAAATAAAATTAATAAATCAGAAAAGCTAATGTTAGCTTTTAGTTAATGAACTGATTTAAATTCAGGAAATAATTTGATTTTACATAGATTCTTACATTAGACCCAAGTTAAGGCAGATCATTGCCATCTCTAACTTCTTTTAAAAATTCATAACTTTTTTTCTGTTTACACTAGTCTCATTGTATACTGTGACACTCCAAGACCACCACTAGGTAGAAGGGGACATGTTGTTTTAATTCCATTTGGGTTGTATTGACCAAAGAAGATGGTAAATGATATAGGCAGTATGAGTTTCTTTTTTACTGTCAAGTGGATAAACACTTTACCTAAAATACCAGTCCCAGAGCAGTGATTCTGAACTTCTTAAATATGTATGTCCCCTTTTGGTAAACATAAAAACTGTGGACACACATACCCCATGACAGGATATAGTGATATCCTTCATTGAGGTCACTGTATTCTTTATATGTGTCTTCTAGTTTTTATCAGTCTTTACTTTCTGTAATTTCTGTTATAAGAATAATACACTTTTTGTTTTCCAAACACAAAATGATTAAATAATGCATTTTAAAATAATGAAATGCTATACCATCACTACCCAAGTTGAGAACATACAATATAAAGAAAGGGAAGAAGTCCAAAAAACATATGTAAACTTAGAAGGCCATAGACATTTTTAAACAGGTTAGTGGATAAGACAGAAATATAGGAAAGTTAGAAATCTCTTCTCTGATTAATATTTATGATCCCTTCTCTGTATATAGTTGGCTAGTTCAGTAATATATTTTCTGGGCATTAGATTAAAATTTAGTAATCAAAATAAAATCAGAAGATAAAAATCTTCTAATCTTTTTAAAACTCTTTTGTACAAAAATCAATGCAGTAATTTAGTAGAAAAACAAACACAGCTGACAGATGTCTTGAAATAATGGCATTCAGCTACACAGACTCCTCTCCCTGTGCCTCAGTCTGCCCAGTCCCAAGGTCTGATAATACTGCTAGTCCTTCTGCATTCCCCACACCATCACCACTACACTAATCCAGATAGCAGCCATACTGCCCAGGTTAAATCTGTATCTGCCATTCTTCCCCTATAACCCTCAGTTACAAAGAATTCAGATGCCTAGTGCTCTCTAGTCTTTTAACATTTTTCCAATTAATTATACTACAGAGGTGATATAATTAATTACTCACACCTTTCCTCTTTCTGATTTCTTTAGCTGAGGAAAAGTTTATTCTCACCATTTCATTTTTGAGCCAAGCTGTAGTTGAAAAGTAGAGAAATAATGTTGATGTGCCCTGTTAAAGGGAAAAAAAAAAAATATCACCTTTTTTTTTTTTTTTTTTACTGGAACAGAATGCTACCTCATTCCGCACATGATTTTAGGTTGACTGTCATCTGCCTTTTCATCTTCCTCACTTAGCTCTCCCTAGAGGAAAATATTATTTATTGTTTAATAGTTTTATTTTCATGGGTTAGAATAAGCACTTTATACTCTCACCTAGCTTTTTTTGGGGGGTGGTGGGAAATAAACTTTTGAGGTATAACTTACTGTTAAGTTGGGTCCTTTGAGAAAGTATTTGACAAGAGGGAAGGTCTGTCTAGGTTATTATATGAAATAATTACTTTCCTTGAAATTTTTTTCACAATATTATCATTTGTCATGCCATTAAGAAGACACAAGAATTAGTCATTGAGCCTAGGTTCCATATTCATTACGTGCACATACATATATACTTCCACATCTTCCTACTCTTCAAATAAAAAATTTAAAAACCTCAGAAGTAGAAGTGTAGTCATTTATTTCTACAGGCATAAACGTTTTGTTGGTTTAAAGCACAAAATGTTGGGGGAGTAGGAACTATACTATTAATCATTTATGTTTGTGGCTAAAATTTCACATTACATAGATAAAATTTCACATTTCAGTGAATGAAATGTTGAAAGTTTTAGATATATGTAAAATTGGAAAATTTATGCACAGATTTAAAACACATTTTGCGGGGCACCTGGGTGGCTCAGTCATTAAGCATCTGCCTTTGGCTCAGATCATGATCCCAGGGTCCTGGGATCGAGCCCCGTATCGGGCTCCCTGCTCAGTGGGAAACCTGCTTCTTCCTCTCCCATTCCCCTTGCTTGTGTTCCCTCTCTCGCTGTGTCTCTCTGTGTCAAATAAATAAATAAAATCTTTAAAAAAATAAAATACATTTTGTTCTAGGGAGTAGTCTTTCTTTTTTCCATTTTTTCTTTTGTTTTTGGCGGGAGTGGTTTTATTTTTCTGACTTAATGTTATACACATGTGCAAATTAACTGAACAGTTTCTGTGAGATGAAGTCTAATTTTCGCATGTTAAATGTGACCCACAATATATATAGTTGTGTATTTTTTGTTATAAAAGAAAAAAACAAGCGGACTAAATGGTATGTGAATTATATCTCAAAAAAAAAAATACAATATGGTTATATAACAGTAAATGAAGATGGTGGTGATGTTGATAGGTATACACTATAACATTGTGGGGAAGTGGGGAGTTGGCTACCTGAAGATAAAACTTCTATAAACTTATTGTTCCTATGGTATTTGAATAATTTTATGGGTACTGAAGTATATTTTTATTAGAGGTTTTTATAACATGTCAGATTGAATTATGTGATACAGCTTTTAAGAGGTGGTGTTGTAGTTCTAAGAACTTCTAGTTTTAAGAAAGACTTCAGCATCAGGTAGATCTAGGTTCAGGTCATGGGACCTTAAACAAGTCATTTAATCTCTCTAAGCCTTAGTTTTATCATTTGTTAAGTGAGACTAAAATGCACATACATTAGAGGGTTTTCATAACTGCTTGAGTAATGTATGCTTTCATGCTCACACAACCCCTTCCTTCCTCCCCTTTTCCTTACCTTCCTCCCTCCTCTTCCCTCCCTCCCTTTCCCCCTCTAGATATAGATCTATGAATGAAATACTTAGTATAATACTTAGCAAATGGAGAGAGGGGTATCAGTAATTATTAACTCTTACTGTAGCTATAGCATTATATTATTGAAAATTATGACCATTTATCTGCTTGTTTGTGCTGGAAACATTTTTAAGTACAACAATTGTAAAATTTCCTAAGGAAGTCTGTTAAGACTGCTTTTGGATATAACAATCCTTTTTTTCTCTTTTTCTCCACTCTTTGGGATGGATGATTACAAAAACTTTACAGAAGTGAGCCATATCAATTACATGTTTAGTGAATTTATATATATGTTTGTATTTTTACATGTATTTATCAAAATATTTATAATTGACCCAATTAAAAACTTAAAAAAATTTTGTCTCCTTATTTGATTAAATAGGTTTTAGATTTCTCCTATAGAATTGCGAATCTTTAAAATATTACAAATAAGATTTATTACAGGATATTTTCCCCCTTTACAGCCTTCTAAAGAAGACATACTCATTTGATGGGTATTGGCATTTCATTTTGTGTTTACTCAGAAAATAAGGCTTGACATTCACTTTTAGATTAAATCTAAAGGATTTACTTTAACATTGTGTTTTTAGGGCAAATGGTATCATCGGAGGCAAGCTGTAAAAGAATTGCATGGAACGTTGATACGCCTTTTAAATGAATTGCTGCCATGGGAACCAAAGTTGATGAAAGCTTTTCAAAGAAACCGGTAATTTAAGCTTTATAATCTGTTTTACCTATTTTAGGGCTCTTAATTTATGATTATGGAAAGATATCCTGGAATCATTTTGTAATTTTCCCTTGATTTATAATTCAGGAGATATTTTTGAGTCCCTACTCTGTTCAAGGCACTTCTAAGCCCTGAAAAAGTAGGGTTGATTAAATAAAACCCTATTTGTGACTTATATTCCTTTTCTTTTTTCCTATTGTGGTAAAATGGACAAAATTTGCCCTTTTAACCAGTTTTAAGTGTATAGTTCACTGGTATTAAATACATTCATAATGAATGTTATTATTACACCATCTATCTCCTGAACTCTTCGTCTTGTAAAACTGAAACTCTTTATCCATTAAGTAACTCCCCATTCTCCTTCTTCCCAGCCCCTGGCAATCACCATTCTACTTTCTGTCTATATGATTTGACTACTCTTAAGTACCTCGTATAATATACAATATTTATGGTTTTGTGACTGTCTTATTTCACTTAGCATATTTTAAGGGTTCATCCATATTGTAGCATATGTCAGAATTTCCTTTTTAAGGCTCTGTGGTATTTCATTGTATGCATATACCACATTTTGCTTATTCATTTATCTGCCAGTGGACACGTGTGGTTTTCGTGTTTTAGCTATTACGAATAATGTTGCTGTGAGCATGGGTGTGCAGATATCTCTTCAGGATACTGCTTTCAGTTCTTTTGGTTTATACTTTGAAGTGGAATTGCTGGATAATATGGTAATTCTATTTTTAATTTTTTAAAGAACCACCATAGTCTTTTCCACAGTGTCTGTACAATTTTCCGTTCCCACCAACAGGATCCCAGTTTCTCCACCTCCTCACCAACATTTGTTATTTTGTCTTTGTTTTTTTTATAGTAGCCATCCTAATGAATGCTAGGTGGTATATTGTTGTACTTTTGATTTGTATTTACCTAATGATAAATGATATTGTGTATCTTCTTATGTGCTTATTGGTTATTTATATATCTTTGGAGAAATGAATATTCAAGTTTTTTGCCCATTTTTGAATCAGTTTGTTGAATTTTTTTGTTGATTTTTAGGAGTTCTCTGTATATTCTGGCTACTCCAATCCCTTATTTGCAAATATTTTGTTCCATTCTATGTGTTACCTTTTGGTTTTGTTAATAGTGCCCTTGATGAACAATTCTTAAAATTTCCATGAAGTCCAGTTTCTTTGTTTTTTATTGTTGCTTGTGCCTTTAGTGTCGTTCCCAAGAAATCATTAGTAAGTTTAGTAGTAAGTTTTGAAACCAAGAAGTGTGAGCATTCCAGCTTTGTTTTTATTTTTCAAGATCATTTTAGCTGTTTGAGGTCCCTTGAGATGCCATATGAATTTTAGGATAAGTTTTTCTATTCCATAACAAATATCATTGGGATTTTGATGGGGATTGCAGTGAATCTGTAGAGCACTTTGGATAGTATTGACATCCTCGAAATATTAAGTCGTCCAATCCATGAATATGGGATGTGTTTTCATTTATTTAGTCACCTTTAATTACTCTCCAGTGTTTTGTAAGTTTTCACTGTACAAGTCTTTCACATCCTTGATTAATTCCAAAGTATTTTATTCTTTTTGATGCTATTAAAAACAGAATTGTTTCAAGTTGCTTTTCAGATTGATTGTTGTTACTATAGAAATGCAGCTGATTCTTGTGTGTTGCCTTTGTATCCTGCTACTTGCTGACCTCATTTATTCTAACAATTTTTTGTGTGGAATCTTTAAGGTTTTCTACATATAAGATCATGTCATCTAAAAAGAGATTATTTTTTTCTTTCCAATTTGGATGCCTTTTCTTTTTTCTTGCCTAATGCTTGGTCTAGAACTTACAGTACAATGTTGAATAGAAGTAGCAAAAGTGAGCATCCTTGCCTTGTTCCCAAACTTAGAAGGAAAAGATTTCAGTCTTTCACCACTGAATGTGATGTTCACTATGGGTTTTTCTTGTGTGGCTTTTCTTATGTTGAGATAGTTTCCTTCTATTCCTAGTTTGTTGAGTATTTTTATCATGAAAGGATGTGGAATTTTGTCATGCTTTTTCTGCAGTTGAGATAATCATGTGGTTTCTTCACTTTATTATGTTAATGTAGTATATGACATCAATTTTCATATGTTGGACTATCCTTTATTTTAGGAATAAATCTCATTTTGTTATGGTGTATAATCCTTTCAGTATGCTGCAGAATTTGATTTGCTTATATTTTGTTGACCCACTCTGACATCTTGCCATGCTCCCCCAGATCAGTATCTCTTATCTTATGGGAAGATGGCAGAGTGGGTAGACCCTAAGCTCACACTGTCCCCTGTTTACAACTAGATATCATCCACATCCAAGTTAATAAACCAGAGAGCAGTCTGAAGACTGGCAGAACAAACTCCACAACTAAATATAGAGAAGAAGCTGCATCTGAAAGTTTAGGAAAGTCAGAAAGGCAGAGGGAGGCTGCCCGCAGGAGGGAGGGAGCTGTGCATGCGGAGAGGACAGAGAAACAGGCACTTGTACCAGGGAATTCATATGGGAAAGACTAATCCCCAAAATGTTTGGCTTTAAAAACCAGAGGGGCTGAATTCTATGAGTTTGTGAAACCAGTGGAAATTGGAGCTTGTAGCTTTAAAAGTCTGCTGACTCAGCACTGGGTGAGCCAGGAGGGAAAGTGATAGCTGGGTTGCTGCCCTTAAAGAGACAGCAGCCTTTGCGGAGAGGCAACATAAAATAGGCAGTTCACACAACACCATGGGCAAGCAGGAGACAGATTTGTTCATACTGATTTCAGAGCATGTTGGTGAACTTCTCTGAAAATGAGGGAACTGGCAGGCACCATTTTCCTCCCCCAGACCCCAGCATAACCATAAACTCCCTATGGGAGAAGAGGCTGCACAGATATTTGTAGCCTGGACCCAGGGCTCAGGGCAAATTTTGTTAAAGCTGCCTGTGTGGCCCTCCCAGACTCTGGGTTTATACCTGATGGGGTTTTGGAATATAGGTGAGATTCACTGGGGTGGAGTCCAGAGCCAAGGACCAAGAAAGAATTCTTGAGACGTCTTTGGTGCAAAATGGTGGTTTATTAAAGCACAGGGATAGGACCTATGGGCAGCAAGAGGTGCTGCCCCAGGGTTGTGAGGGGTGGCTGATTATATACTATGGGGTTGGGGGAGGTAAGGAAAAAGGGAGGTTTCAAAAGGATTTTCATATGTTAAAGAAGACTCAACAGGATACCAGAGGCCTTCCCATTGTCAAGTTAAGGTTTTCCCCTCTACCAAGGCATTAACATGCAAATAGTTGGGAACTTCCTGGAGGAACATTATACTCTGCCTGCTTCAAGTATCTGTCAATGGGCTGCAGATTATAAGGACATTTAATTGTATCTACATTTCCTTCTGGAAGCTAGGTTATTGATAGAAATGAGTTCTTGTAGATTGCTAAGACATTTGTAAACTGAGGGAAACTCAGGTCTTGCAGGATTGTGATCTCTATAGGTTAACTATTTTTCCTTTCCTTAGCTTTAGGGCAGCCAGGAGTGCCTGAGGAATGTCACACATATCCCATGGGGGTTGGGGGTCATGGGGTGTCAGTTTCTGCTTTGTCCTTAGCTTGCCTTCTGTTCCCTCATCATACCTGCTGCTGCGGGCCATGCCCAGCCATTGTCATACGCTCTCCAACAGCTTCACATCCCCAGCAGCCACAGCACTTTGGGAGATCTGGCATAAGACTAGTGGCCCAAGGCAATTTAGCTAACACCAATAACCGTTCCCAAGTTCCCTGGTGGGCATGTCCCCCTCAGAACTTGTCTGCCTGAGTCTCACTAACACCATAGAGTAAGCACATCCCACAACAGGTAGAGGGTCAGTGCAGATGACTGCACTGAAAGGAAAAGTGACTCAGACACAACAGCAGGATGTAAGCAACACACATAGGATACTCTCCTGAAGTGCCAGGTTCTGGTAAACGGGACACTGCACTGCAGGGGACTCTAGGACCTCCCCTTCATGAAGTCACTTTTTTCAAGAGCAGATGACATAGCTGACTTTCTTAACAGAGAGAAACAGACACAGAGAGCCAGGCAAAATGAGACAAATTTATCCCAGATGAAAGAACAGGACAAGGCCACAGCCAGAGATCTAAGCCAAACAAATATAAGGAACGTGCCTGATATCTCGAGAATTTAAAACAATGATCATAAGGATGCTCGCTAGAATTGAGAAAAGAGTGGAAGACATAAGTGAGACCCTTAACACAGAGTTAAGGAATAACATAGAGGGGCAACTGACTGGCTCAGTTAGGAGAGCATGAGACTCTTGATCTTGGGCGTTTGAGCCCCACATTGGGTATACAGATTAATTAAAAATAAAATCTTGAATAACATAGCATAGATAAAGGGCTCAATAAACAAAATGATAAATACACTTGATGAAATGTAGCAGGATGAAAGAAGCAAGGAATAAATTAGTGACCTTGAAGACAGAGCAATGGAAAGCAATCAAGCTGAACAAAAGAAAGAAAAAAGAATTACACAAAACAGGAGTAGACTTAGGGAACTCAGTGACTCCAACAAAAATGCTAACATTTGTATTATAGGAGTCCCGGAAGAAGAGAGAGAAAAGGGGACAGAAAACTTACTTGAAGAAATACTAGCTGACTTCCCTAACCTGGGGAAGGAAACAGATAACCAGATCCAGGAAGCACAAAGAACTCCCATCAAAATCAATAAAAGCGGAACCACACTAAGACATATTGTAATTAAATTGGCAAAATACAGTAATAGGGAAAAAAATCTTTAGGGCTCATACAAGAATTCAGCAAAGTGGCAGGATATAAAATCAATGCACAGAAATCATTTCTGTATGCATGATTGCATTCTATATGCAATATGCATATAGAAATGCATCATTGCATTTCTATACTCCAACAACAAAACAGAAAAAATTAAGGAGCTGATACCATTTACAATTGCACCCAAAACCATAAGATAC